GAGCAGTTTGGAAAGCCCTGAAATTCTCACTGTGTTAAAACACAGCCATCAGAGGTTTGCAATGAAACTGAAGGGAAAGCAGGTTTTGAGGGGATTTTTCTTTAAAGGACCATCTTCAAAAGAAACAAGGATCCTGGCAGCTGGAGGTTTCATGAAAGTCTGTCACACAACATCTGTACATGTTAAAAGACTGATCAAATGGTTTCATTCCTCTGAGGTTTCATTCTCACAGCTTCTATGACAACGCCCTTCTCTTCCTTGTGATCACTATTGAATACTGTCTTCGAATAGTAAACTATCCTCACTGTCTTACTATCTTAGGATAGTAGTAAGTAGTACAGTAGATAAGTAGTAAACTATCCTAAGTAAGCTATCCTAAGTAACTGTCTGCTGATACATTAGGTTTTTCTTTCTTTACATCTAAGAGAATATTAGGGGAGGAATTAATTTCAAGCGCGTTCTAAAGCAAGGAACTTGCCAACCTGGCTCCTATCCAAACTGTACTATCTTTACTACCACGCATCTCATGCGGATTGCTCCATCCTCTGCTATTTTCTCTAAGAGCTACTAAGCAGATAACATACATGAGAGACTTGCCCAATGTCATTCTCCAGCAGTAATCCAAAGGGGGCTATATTCCACACTTTGTTTTTCACCCAAAGAGGAGGAACGTTTCTTCTGCCTCTACTACGCCAGGCAGAGCAGGGGCTTCAGGGTTCCTGCATGCTTCAGCCAGAGACATATTCCTGCGGCTGCCTTCTCTCTGCTGCAAAATACATAAAAACCGTCTCAGCAAGACCAAACACCCATCACCAACTCTATTCTCACATCTGTAATTCATACCCCTGTTTCTAATGGGGAGGGGTTTGTATTTGGGTATTTGTAGGTGCCAATCACACATTTAATTAGAAACAGGGCTGCTGGAGCTCATTAAGCAAGCAGGTGTCTTCTCAAAGAAAAGTTATTGTAAAAGATGCTACAAGATTCCTAGAGCAGCAGAGCCTTATCTGTTGCATGTGGAGTAATGTTCAACTGTTGAAGTTGAAAACAAGAGCAAATGGAAACAAACTGGAGGGGAAAAGGGAAAAACAAAAAGGAAAAAAAGAATGGTACGTTTTCAGTTTTCCTAGTGCTATTTGTACTGTGGAAATACAGAACAAATTTAAACCTTAGCATAACTCTAAACCTGCACATTTTACCCAGAGAAAATTAGATAATGTATTTTAGTCAGTAATACCAGAAAAATCAATTGAGAAAACAAAATCTAAAAAGCCAGACAATTTTGGCCATGGAAAGTGAATGAAACAGGACTACCAATGGCTGGAAACCCTTGGGGAAGCACCATGTGTTATCAGTCCCAGGTTATTCTTTGGAAGCGTAATCTTGCCCCAAAAGATAAATTCCATGTTAGACTGCCTAAAGTAAACCAGCCTATAGGGGCATTTTGCTCACTTTATAAATAAAATCCTAGCTAAAAAGAAGTGCTGAAATACGTTTTTGTTACAGTCTGGCTGAGAAAGCAGCTCTTTCTGCCTCCTGGAGCAGGGCGCATAGTGGCTTGCGCTTACCTTTTGAAGACAATTAAAACCAATATCTGCATGGCATGAGGCAATTCCAACATGTATGTCACTGCATGCATGTCTGCTTCGCCATCAGCATGTATGGCTCATCATCTGTCTGCTCTGAACAATAACTGTTAGGTTAGCAGCCTTTTCACTTGTAAATGTAAATATTGTATCTGGAACACAATATTTGAAATACAAAATACGGTGTTATTAAGACAGCACTCACACATCAATTCTTGTGTGACTATAATTTGTGAAATGCCTTAGGAGGGGCTTATAAATAAAGTATAAGGTGTTATTATGAAATACATTTTAACCAAATGCACAGAAATGTCTCATTCCTATTGAAATCAATAGCAAAACTCCCACTAATTTCAGTGGTAAAAAGAGGAGACCCTTGGAAATTGCAGTGTTACACTGAGCAATACATTACAGCAGATTTCAGTCTTTGTAAGTATTACAGCTCTAGAAGAAAAACGGGATGAAAATGGGTATTAGAGGCTGTTCAGAGCATGGTGAAGATTTTCATTTCCCACTGATGTGGCTGGCAGCAGTGCCTGGTGAGACAGCACGTCTCCCCGCAGCCTCACGCAACCCCCTGGCCCATTTGCAGCAGTGCTCTGAAGCCGGTTGGGCTCTTAGGCTGCTCTGGGGCCTTGCCTGGCCCCCAGCAAGCAACCGGGAGCTGGCACCAGTGCTCATGCATGGGAGCCCCCGCACGCTCAGCGCTGCGCCCCAGCCCACCCTGGGGAAAGGCTCTTGACGGCTGTGGCCTCAACGTGCAGGGCAAGGCTGCCTGTAGCCCACAGAGCCCCCAGCACACACAGCAGCAGCTCTTCAAGGCAAGTAGCACTCTGGGGCCCAAATGCCTTAACTTCTTCCTGATGTGCAGCCAGCCAGGGAACTTCTCCCCACCGACCTCCTTCCATAGGGCACAACAACAAGCCAATGAACCAGAAATGTCTCCTCTCTGCTGTGGCTAGCCAGCCTGTCATCAAAATAAGCTCAAGGTTCATCCGCACAACTGCTTTATGGCGTTGCTGCGACCAGAGAGATGAAGGGCTGCAGATCCGCATCACAGCCTGCCCTGAAGAAGGCTTCTGAAGGGGCATAGAGGGCTGGCTATGGCTCGATGGACGCCACCAGCAGCTGGACCGCAGGCAGTGGAGCTGCACGGCTGGGAAAACTTGGGAAGGGCAGGGAAGAGCTACAGGGAGCTGCCTCTGCCCGCATATCGGCACCTGCAGAAACAGCAACCACGGCACAAAAGCTCTCGGAGGAGGAAGGGATGGGAAGCTCATTTCTATTTCTGGTCGAGCAGAAGTTGGCATTTAGATAACAAACTACATTAGTAGGTATAAACACACTAAATAGCTATATAAATGCTGTGTTTGTACCTGTAATTAATTGTTCCCAGAATTGATTTAGTTGTGCGAGAAGGGACCTGCCTATTGTGGTGTTTAATGTGATCTATCCATATCCTATAAGTATATAATGTGCATGTGCACGTCTGATAAAAAAATACAAATTAAAAAAAAATCCATGTTTCATTAATATTTGCCAGTGAATGGCTTCCAGGTAATTAAAACTACTTAATGCTGAAATAACAAATACATTAACAACTGACCAATGTCAATTAAAAAGAAATATTTTAGTCTACTGGTTTTACACATGTTTGCTTGCTTTGGTCTCTTGATTTTATTAACTGTCGTGCTTTTATTAACTGTGGTGCTTTGAGCAAAGCTGCTCTTTGTCCCTAAAGGATTCAGAGTTTACGTGCGTTTAATCTCGTCTGCAGCGTCGCAACTACCTCAGTGCCACAACTCTGCTACTCCAAGTTTACAATGAAGTGTTATCTGCAGTGACAAATATGCCAAAAGAAAAACATAACCGGCCTAGATAGTATCTGTGCTTTACAAAGGCTGCTTGTGATGCCTGTGCTTTGACTCAAAACTCCCTGTGCATTGGCTTTTTAATCATGAGATCCCTTTTTCAGCACAGCATCGCAAGTAACAACTGCACCACAATGAGCCAGCTTCATAGATATGGGAATGTTTAGATTTCCCTGCCAGTGACTAAAGGCCTTTAGCTTTCACTAGCCAGTCGCAGCTCGCATTGTTGTTGCCTGTTGATTTGTCTTCTCTCATTATTCCTTGACATGCAGCTCTCCACCCACGCCCACACTAACAACTCTCACACAAAGCGCATTGAGGTATTAACCAGGTTACAAGTTCAATGGAAAATTACACTAAGATTGTGCTGTGCAGCAATATAAAGAGATGGTATTCACTCTCCCAAAGAGCCTGTTAAAAACACAGCTGGGTTGGGGTTTTTTTCCTTTTAAGCATCCTAACAAAAACAATTTTGAGAAGTCAGGAATGCGTATTTGTGTATGTGTCTATGTGTACTTTATGTATAATTACAACAAATAGACACGGGTGTGCATGGTGTCTCCACCACTGACTGACAGGATGCAAACTCCTTGCTGTTAATTCTGCTGGATGGTGGAGTTCATTTAGAGCATCTCCAGAAACTAGAGCTAAATAAACAACCTCCTCCTGCTCTCAGCTGCAATTAGATACGTGAACCTATCTTCTTTTTGTTAGCCCAAATTACAGGCTGGTGGGAGTGCTGAAAGTCTATGAAAACGTTTCTTAAGAATCTCTCCTTATTGAAAACTGAAAATAAATTAAAAATAAAGCTTAATGAAATTAACCTAACACAGTAACAAAATTTGCAACACCACACTATAAGGTTAAAAAGAAAATAGTATAATAAAGGAAATACAAAGGCTTTGGCATGGTTTTTACAATCAACAATGGTTAATTTTGATATGTAGTTGTGAACAACTTCAAAACACTTATGTTTAAAACTCTTGCAAGCACTTTTAATTGATTAGGAATGAATTCTAGATGCACAAAAATGATTGGACTGTGAACAGTAGTACAACTATATCTAAGAACAATTAACTCTTGCCGACCAAAAAGAAACGTATGATGCATGAAAATGTGTATAAAACATCTATAGAATATTCTTGTCAAATATAAATGAAATTAACTTTATTATAGAAATCATTCTGGGAGATTTCTAGGGAAGACAAATACTTACATTTTGACATAAAACAAATTGGATTATATCGAAGACACAATCTACCTTTTATCTATCAAACTCTTTTCTTCATCGAAGTTCTCTCTTAACCCCTGTTTGCACATAGCTTCAGCCGTTAACAACCTTTGGAAATACCAACAGATATTTTTCTTACATAAATCTAGTGCGTATTGTTCCAGGTTTAATTATATGCAATGGAATGATACAAACTTGGAACATCAATCCATAATCTATGAACAGATCGGTAGAAGTATTCGATATATCTTGATAAAACTCTTAAATTCGTGGCAAAGCTTGTTGATCATGGCTTCTTTTTTTTTCCTTTTCTTTTTTTTTAAACAACTTCATGACCAACACAGATCAAACATCCATCCAGTCTACATTGTTCTTTTTTTTTTCATTATAACATACAAATGCCCATTTACAAATAATACACCAAAATGAATAAAAGTTTGGATACCAAAATGAAGATTTGTTCCAACTGATATAATGCCTTCAGTGTACAAAGGTCCATGTGAAAGTCTTTTCCATGTGTTACAGCATAGGGCACAGTTGCAGTACAGAAGTACTCTGAGAGCCATTCTTCCTTTATAAAATACTGCGGAACATCCAACTGTTGTCCGTATAGTCAATTACGGAATTAACACATGTTTTACTGTAATCTTGGCCAGTATTGAGACATATCAGGTTCACTGCCAGGGACTTGAACTGGAACTGACACTCCAGGGGAAATGAGACCTGAAAATTGAGGCGGAAAAGGAATATTTTAGTTTTAATAGACATGGTACAACTTTTGATTTACAGAGATTTGTGCTTGTATTCTGGTAAGTATTAAATCTCACCATCTCCCAGCCTGCAGAATCAGGTGAGGAGGGGTGCGTATATTTGTATATTTTAAAAACCTATGCACATCTCACTGATTTGTTGTTATAAATAAACTGTCATGCTTTGAGATAAATGCCAGAGCCTCAGATCGTTTAGATCAGTTGGGAATTCAGCCCAAAATACACTGAACTCTTCTATTCTTTTAAAATGTCTGGCTTGCTCCTGCTGATGCTGACACTTACCCTCTTTTACTCTCTTTTGCCTTCTTATGCATAGGTTAATATTTCTACAGATTACCTGCCTTCTTGATAGCTTAAATCTTTAGCAAAAAATAGCCCCTGACATAGAAACAGTAAAAGCACGCCCAGTCCTGCAAAGACTTTCATGTACACTTAACTTCACAGCTGTGAGTATCTCTGCTGAAATTTAACAGTGAAATAAATGCTGCTTTAGAAATTAATTGTACAGGGCAGATTTTGCAGGATGGAGGACTCACTGAAGAGCTTTCCACTGTACCACTATTCAAACACCACCTCTGTTAACCAGCCCTCTGCTCTAGCCCTCAGGGTTGTACATTTTTGTCTTCTGCCTGGCTTGGTAGCTACTAAACCCGACAGAGAGATCTCTCCCAGCAAATATATGTGAAAAGCCAGATAGCCAGAGCAAGGAAGCCGTGCTGGCAGAAACACGGTGGAGGGGGGGCACAAGGCCACTCACCTGTGGAAGTGGTGCCAGAGGTGCCCATCGGCTGGCTGTTCATGTGTGTCTGCATGTGAGGAGGGGTGTATGTATCATAGCTCCGTCCATTCACCGATGGACTGGTGGGCAGCATGCAAGAGTAGGAGGAGGTCTGGCTGGGTACCGGGGGCTATGGAGGCAAAGGACAAAACAGCATTAAGTATCAGCCAAGGTAAACACCACATCACGTTCTTCTGTATGGATGTGCCAGCCCTCAGGAGCAATGTGCACAAGCAAAAATGAGCTTCAGCTTCAATTTTGGGGGCTTGGATGTAAATCCATATTCAGGAGCTCAACGAAATGGCTTCTTGCCGAAGGTTTTTGGTCTACAGAAAAAGCATGGACGGTCATCAGCGCCTTTTCAGACATGCTTGGTGAGCAGCTCCCTACATCTAGATGCTAATGAAGGTGTTACACACCTAAAACAAAGGACCCAAAACCTTTGTTTGTGCTTATGTAGAAGCAAGATGTCTCATGCTATTTCCAGCCAGAGACAGAGTTGGCATCTTGTATCGCATTTGGTGATGTAACTAAAAACTATTAGGGGTGGAACTAAAAAAAAATCACCCCACTGAGACAGACAGGCTGATCCTGCATCTGTAAGCATGTTGCTTGTACACTCAGATAATGTGTAGGTTTGGGGTGACCGAGGCTCTGAAGGAGGTGCATATATGTGTGCTGCTGTACATATATCTGTGCTGATCCCCCTTCAGAACCTCAGTCACCCCAAATCCATGCCAACAGCATCCCAGGAGACCAGACATCTCCATTTACCTAAACTCTAGCCCCTCAAACCTCATCTGCTGTGAAGGAAAAGCAGCTGGGGGCAGAGGGTGAGGGATGGCACAGTGCTGGGGAGGGAACAAAGCAGGGGCATCTCTTGCTCCAACAAGCTGAGAGAGTGGGGACCAGTGTAGCACTAACATGGGGAGGCAGCAGGGGAGTGGGAAGAGTAATTCCCACTCCAGGTGCATGAGACTTGACACTTTTACTCCTATTTACTCCACCTGCGTGTCCCCAGCACTTGCCATCTCCAAAGATACTGACAACCTCTCTCCAAGCAAACCAGCAACGCACCCCACATCTGCAGGGAGATGCTGAGAGTTCAGCTGCCAAACCTCCCGCTCCAGCATCGCATGGCCATCATGTTGTTGTGACCACATAGGCAGGACTTTCCAGAGCAGCTCACACGTGCCAGGACCCTGCCCAGGTGACCAGCAGTGAATCAGGGGCCTCTGGTTTTCCCAAGCATCCTCTCCTGTATCAGTCTTTTGATCTTTTGTCATCTGCTTTCAGCCCACTGCCAGGAATGGCACCACTGGCTTCCAACATCACGAAATAGCGACCTAGCCAACATCATTTCTTTCCACGGACTTGCGAGACTCTAACTTTATTTGGTTAATTTTGGTTCAGCAATTAGTAACATAGTAATTGCCACAGCAAAGGAGTCAGGCTCTCTAATCTGCTCGCCTGTCTCCAGCAGTGGTCAATGCTGTGTGCCTCAGACAAAGCTGTAAAACTCCCGTAATTGGCCAGCACCTTCCTAGGCCAACCCCACCATTAAAAAAGGAGGAATTTTGCATCTGAAAGGTCTATAGAAACAGACCCCAAAGGAATAGATTTCTTCCTAACCCAGCTGGTGATCAGCTAATGCTTTCAGGCATGAGGATTGACAGCTCTTGCAATTCTGGCTTAGCTGGCATAACCACTGATGCTAATCACATCTTTCCCTCTCTCAGGTGTTCCTAATGCACCACCACCACATTACCTATGCCAAGAAGGTCGGATCTCTCCAGCAGCTTACTCAAGCAGCAATTTCTACAATACTGCACCAGTGAGTTCCATAGGTTAACCACAGTGTTTGAGGGCTTTTTTACAAAAAAAAAAAAAAAAAAAAAAAGGTTTTTTCATGCCAGATTTGTTGCCTTGTAATTTTGAAGGCTCTTCTCTTTTAAAATTTGGGAAAAGGGCTTGTCAGAGCACCAGGACTTACAGTGCCCTTTCCCATGTGATTCTCCCAAAATAGAGCATCTTTTCACTAGCTGGGGAAGCCTTTGGTGCTGGTTTCCCTGCAGTGTGGTTTGAATCCATTCTTCCTGGGGAGGAAGAGCCCCCACGCTCCCATACACCCCAGGGGCCGCTGAGTCCCAAGGGAGCATCATGCCACAGTGCCGGACTTACTTGCATAGGCAGGTTGTTGGCCATGGTGAAGCTAGGCATGGGCGGCAGTGCGCTGTACGTGTTTGTGAGCGCCGTGTCCGTTCTGCCCAACATGGAACCTGATGTGAAAGAGGAAACTATAATAGAATAGACAGATAGATGGACACATTAGTTTAACCACAATTACAATTGGTGATACAGCCTCAGAGTCTCATTTTCCCAAGAGGATGGATGAACGTGAGTGGGTCGGTGGCATTACCGGGGGTGGTTGGTTGCGGGATCGGCTGGTAAACGCTTGTGCTGAAACTACTACTGATGGGAATGTGGCTGGGAGTGTTGCTGGCTTGTCTTCGCTGGTTCCTCAGCTTCTCTTCCCTTCTCCACTTGGCCCTTCTGTTAGAAAACCACACCTGGAAACACAGTGTTGGAGAGATGTGAGTGACCTTACAAGGACCAGAGGTGTGGGGCCTCCCCCACGTAACACAAGGCTGCGCTGATAGAAAGCTGGCTTGCAGCACACCAAAGCAGCGTGTGAAAGCAAATCCCAGCTGCTGTTATTTTCCTGAAGGAGGAGATGGACAAATACCCAATCATAAATAGGGGCTGCCCTGTGCTTTGAGAAGCAAGGAATAACAACATTAGAATAGTAATAGTAAAAACAATAACAGTGATATTTGCATGGCAACTCAGTACCTGTATCCTTGCTTCAGGCAGGTCTATTTTAGCAGCTAGTCTCTCTCTCGCAAACACATCAGGATAGTGGGTCCTCTCAAATTCTGTGGAAGGAAATACTGTTGCATTAGTTGTGAAGGGTTAATGTGGCTGACCATAAAGGCAGAGTCATTCCTACGCTGCCTATGCTCTAAATGCTCTGAAGAAACATTGCTGTAATGTCAAAGCTGAGCTTTGTGTGTGCGTGTGTGTGCACGTGTCTTAGAAAGGAGTGAGTGTGCCTTGCCTGCTGGGGAATATCGCTGAGGTGCTTGGGTACAATGCTGCATCTTTCAAGAAGTGGTGAGGGCTTCTGCCTCAGCTGAGGGGATCCCCAAGGCAGCTCTGACCCTGTCACCAAGAAGCAAAATGGCACATCTCTAAATAACAGCAGAAAATAAGAACAAAGATCTGCAGCAGGTCAGAGGCGAGGTGCGTCCAGACCGGTCAGGGAAAAGGGCACCTGCTCCCAGCCCCGGGCAGCAGCAGCGCTGGGGATGGGGAGCAAGCGGGGGGAACGGGCATGGAGGGCTGCTGCCAGCCCCAGCCGCCTGCCCTTGCCTTCCCAGCATACAGCAATGCTGCCCAGCCGGGGACGCGGCACAGTCAGCAGAAGAAGAGTTATGCCCCATGAGAGGAGCCCAGGGTATAATACTGATGTTTTGGTATGATCTGTGCCCTGAGTATGTTCCCTTCAAAAACCTTTTAGCTTTTCAGTGCATATCGCAGTCATTTTTTAATATTTGGAGCTCAGTGAATAAAAGAGCATGGAGGGAGCCACTGACTTAAAATTCATAACTATATATAAGGCACGTGAATGCCGTGTTTCTGTTCTGCTCTTACAGCCAAGGCACATTTTGCTTTTCTCTCCTGCTTCAGTCATAGGAAAATGTCACTCACCTTTCTCAAGGGCTTCGATTTGCTCCTGGGTAAAAGATGTCCTATTTCTCTGCAGCTTTCTTTTCAGCTGGAGTCTCATTTGGGCCTCGTCTGAGTCTTCTCCATTAGAGCTGATGGAGTTAGTGTTTTCCCCTCCTCCCTCCTGTTGTGGACAGCCATCTGCAGAACATAGAGTTGGAAAGTGAAATGCAGGTACCTTTGTTTTAAGATCCCTATCAGATAAATAATGCAACTGGAAACAAGTTCAGCCATGTTTGCTGACACCCTCCCTTAAAAACATATCGGGTATCAAAGCAACATTGCATTAATGAGATGGGTAACATGGAAACATTTCAGTTTCTAACGTTACTGTAAGCATCAAAGATGAGGAATTACGATCGCCTGGTCTTAATTTCATTTTGTTTTTCCTCTGGAATAAAACCCACATAAAAATACTTTCCCTTGAAAGTGATTCTTCCCTTGAATCACTGCTGAAGTGCCATGGCAGTCTCCTCTGTCTGCTGCATTTATTTACCTATTGCTACATTTAAAATAGTGATGTTCAGTATTTCAGATTATCTATAATCAGTAATTCCTATCTAATCAATTAGATGTTGATAGGTTTGCAGAAAATGCTATTAAGAAACCAAACCAAGCTTGTAATCTTTTTAAAAAAATATTTATCCAGTTTTTATTTGAATTCTGCACAGTCAATTTCATTTTAAAGGTTGTGAATTTAGAAGTGCCTGCATTGTTCTGCAGTTTTATTCAACTATTGTATGAGTGTGCATTGCCTTGACACCTATTACTGAGCACAGCTGTAATTATATCATCACCAAGAACAGGCTATAATTGCCGAAAATGGAATTTTATATTTAGATAAAAGGACTGTCCATTCTTTGTAATGTGTTGCACCAGAGAAAAGTAAGATTTCTTTTAAAATTTTAACATGTAATTTTAAAAGAAATAGTAGCGAGTTCACTAAATATGCTATTCTGCAGCTGAACATTTGGCATATCATTTAAGCAGTACATTTTTAATTAGGGCATTTCCACCACTTTTAATGCAATTTCTGTCATTAAACAGGGGAAAGTTTCCTTGCGCTCTCCTCTTAGGCAGGCGCAAGTATGAGTCCCAGGTCCGGCCGGCCCTGCGGGGCTGTGCGGGCACCGTGGGCCGAAGGAGCGGGCGTTTCTGCCGAGGCGGAGAAGTCGTTGTCCCTAAATTACCTCTCCCTCGCCTTTCAAAACATATTTTTTCGAGGCGTTTTAATGTCGCATAAAAGTGGAGATGGGATGAGGGACGCATGGGCTACTTATGCTAATTCCCTTGAAAAGTTACGCCAAAAATAAATTGAGACACTGCCGCTTCATCCTTTAAATATTGTGGGAAATCAACTTTAAAGTAATATCATTTATAATCGGTGAACAATGGCCCCGGCCTTCAAAGCTCGAGGGGAATTGTGACAGGATCTGGTGGGACTCTTTCAACCACTTTGAAATGTTTTAAAACCCG